AATTTTACCAGATTGGATTGTATCGAATGCACTTGTAGTTGGTGCAGATGATAAGTGACATCAACCAGTGAAAGCAAAGCCAACAACATCTTTTGCGGGCACCTTGAGCCAAACATTGTTGGCCAAGTACAAGTTTGGGACCCTACCCCGGATTCCAGGATTATGGAACAAGTTACCATTCTAGTCAAGATAACATATTGGATAGTCGATTTCGTGTCGTAAAAGCCATGACATAATGTACACTTTACAATCATAGGCAACAACAATATAGTGGGATCCGTTTCGGTACCACTATTGTGATATGAACATGCATATCACGAGTAGGGGTTCATTCGGGTGATTTCTGCTCCCCCCTCTCGTATGACACCGGATCCTAAGTGGCACTCGTCAACCACAATCTCAGTACTTGGAGGCATACAAGACAGTTGATTTGGAAGGCACATTGCAGGTGTCGTCATTCTCGACGGCTTCCTCCCTTAATCGTGGAATCCGCTTTGGTGGGCGGTTCCTCGGTTTTGATCTCTTCACCTGCGCGGGCGCTTTTGAAGGCTGCACTTGACAGTCCTCCCCAACATCGGGCACCAGTGCCTGGTCTAGGCTCATCTTGAGACCCGTAGATGAAGTGTGAAGTACGTCGTATGTTAGATGGCATAATCGTTATTGGGGAGCATAATCCCAGTTCTATGGTTGACCACAATTCTTTGCTTCGAGTACAGAGTGACATGAATTTTGACATCTATTCTGACATTCTATCTGACACATATTCTGACAGAAATCCGGTATCTTATCAGATGTCCTATTTGACATTGTACCTAGTACCTGGCATTCTACCTGACATTTTTTTCTGACATATTGTTCGAGGGTTTGCGAGGCAATTGTGTGAGGCGGGAGGAGGAGGACGAGAAGGAAGAAAAGAAGAGCAAACTGACATAGAATCTAAAGTCCCTCACATGGCAGGTGGGCGAAACAAATCTATAAATCAGTTAGTCACAAACAGTCTTTGTTGATCTTAGTTAATGATTTTCCCATGATCCCATGAATATCCCCATTTATGAATTATCCCATGATAATCCCACGATGTTCCCATATTATCCCACTATTATCCATATCCCACCCAGTAATTATGCATAACCCCCATGAATACTAGTTCGTTATATCCACCAAAAACCATAGAATTCAGCCACTTTTTTCAGGCAACTGAACGCTATCGAACGGGGGCCCCATCCTGTATTATCCCATGAATATCCCATGATTCTCCGATGACTGGAGGTTGGTTTTGAATAAGCCCTGCCTCGACAAGGGCTCAGCGAGGCTGGCGCTGAAGGCCTCGGAGTCATGACTGGATGAGCCTTGAGGGATCAATGGTTGTTAATGGGATTTTAATGGGATTTCCATGGGATTTTAGTGGGGTTTCCATGGTTAATCATGGTTAATAATGGTCTGGTTGGTGGTTTTAACCATCTTGAAAAATATGAGTTCGTCAATGGGAAGGATTATCCCATATATGACATGGAAAATAAAACATGTTCCAAACCACCAACCAGAATTATCTAACACTAAGATTACCATTAGTTAATTTGGGTTAACTAATGTTAATATAACCTATTAATTGGTTAATACTAATGGAGTCGACTTGGTTCAGAACCAATGATTTAACACTAAGATAGTTTATTATAACACTATTATAACGATCAATTTTTAGTATTAACCAATTTTAGGGATAACCAACCTTCGTTAGATCTGTATTGAAATGTATAACCTCAATAGTTAGTATCGGTAACCATTAGATAGTCATTTCCTCAAAATTGGTTATCTTTAGTATTAACCATTGATTTTAGGGATACCCAATTTTGACCCATACCAATTTTACAATTGAGAAAATATGATACAACCAAGCAAAATGTTGGTTTAACCAAAATTGATATGATTCGACCATTCGAAAATGGCAATATTTTCTGGGATCCGATAGAGAAACTCAGCCACCCAAACAACAATTTTCGATACGGCAGGTGATAACTACCCTGTTTGGATTTCAGGGTACCCTCTATGTTCAAAGCGACCCATATATACGAGTCGGGTTTGACCACTGGTGCATAGCTCCAGGGCAGATGGTGTAGAAACATGGTTTATGGTCATCCCATAATGGGAATCCTTACTTATATACTTATAACTTATATATATATATAGTGACCCCCAAATGGGTGGACCATCCCCAAATAGATGGAAAAGTAAATCACGAATTTGATGGTGATTACTATAATATATAGATTAGTCATTACTAATCATCAAATAGCCATGAAATAATCTATCCCCATCTATAACCTATAGTGATCCCATGTAATCCCATTTAATGGTGATTTACTCCATCTATTTGGGTATCCCAACAATGGATTGATAACCATCCCCCAAGGACGTCGCCAAGGGGAATCATGACTTTGGGATCTTTGGTAGTTTCGGGAGGTGCGATCCTTCAAGGAAAATAGATGAAAATAGAAAGGAAATCCAAAACTCAACTGGGAGTGACTATGCCTTAGTACGATCTGGGATTGACATTATCCATATTGCTGTGTCTCGAAGTTCCACACTGGGAACAAAAAACGCCTCGAGTAAGTTCAGCTGTCGTAGTCCACGTGGATCACATCCCACAGATTTATTGGGGCAAGCTGTTGATATCCACTGAATATCCACTGGGCCAAAGTCAAGCCCTAAGCAGGGACAGATTTGTTCGAGTGAATAGCCCAAAAGCGGTGGTCAGCTTAAGCAGATCGGCATTTTGAACGCTACAAAGACCATCAGTTTCACACACACATAGACATCTGGAGAAATACGAGTAGATGCCAACAGAGCCGGATGCGGCTTAACTGGGGCGTCCATGTTGGGTTTCATGTTCTCCGGTTGTCCGGTGTGAATGCCGGAGGTGGGAGCTACCATCTCTCCGGATGTCACAAGGCCGTAGGCTAATCGGAAGATACAACTGTGCAAGAGCCAAAAGCAGTTCTTGGCCGCTGAGTTTTTTGTTTCCCATTGATGTTGGACTCTTGTTGTCCTTACATCTCAATCTCTCGCGGCCGAGGAAGTCCACCCCGTGTTACAAGTGCCAGGTGGAAAACAAACACAGCTTCAACTTCAGCCATATCGGACACCCTCACTTTGAGACAAGGGGTTCTAATCCAAAATCAGAGTTCTGAGTTTTTCTATGTTATTTCCATTCAGTGTGGGCAATCAAACATGCAAGCAATCAGATGGAATCGGGTGGATTTGTGAGACAACATTTTTCTTGGGTCATCCAGCAAAACATGAATAGCTAAACATCCTTCAAACCAAGCTGATAATGTTAAGCCCCCCCCAAAAAATCCAGGTATTATTTCTCAATGTTGTTTTTGTATTCCCCAAATGGTTGATTCGGGGGCAAGCAAAAAATGATGACATACAATGACCATCTACCCACTGACTCCAATTAGCTGTGTTCTAAATCGCGTCCAATTCAGACATGGCCTTGAAGGCACATTCCGATGGATTTCGGAATCCAAATTCGGATCCAAAAAAAAATCCCGGCGAAGTACTAAGGAAGAACAGTTTTAGACGCCTAAAGGGGTGCATTTGCAAATGTCCATGAGCAGTATAGGGCCATATCTGAGCCCATATCCATCAATGCAGCATGCACTTGGTTTCCCATCACTGGCGATGTTCCCGCACTGGTCGGCCTGGGCGGCCTAGGATCGGTCGTCGGTCACCGTCGGTCACGTTGTGGGGACAGCAATGCGCCCACGATTCCGTGGCAAATTTTAAGATGAAACGCTCAATTTAATGTGTGTTCATGAAAGGACATTGGCACAATACCTATATAAATTCTTCATTGTCATATGATGGTGTTGATGAATCTGATGATGATGATGATGATGACGATGACGATGGTGATGGCGATGATGATGATGATGATGATGGTGATGATGGTGATGATGGTGATGATGGTGATGATGATGATGAGGATGATGATGATGATGATGATGCCTAATTACTATTATCATTAGTGGATTCAAAAATCAGTTTCTCTTGACCCATACCCACATGGTCGAAGAATAGAACAAGTTCTAAGTGTCTGATGGACAATGGCAGTGCTCTCGATAGGAAGGACATCCAGAAAATCGAGCGTGGTAAACCCATGTTAACCCATTAAGAAACAAGATAATCAAAACATGTACGCCCCAACCCGGACGTTGCTCCACACCTAAAATTGTCATGATCATCATCATCATCATCATCAGCACAACCATCATAATCATCATCTTTATCTTCATGAGGGGTCAAAATTCGCCACCCCCTCTGAACAATGTGTTGACTGGGGTAATAACACCAACTATATCTCCATGAGGGATCAAAATTTGCCACCCCCCATGAGCAATATGTTGATTGGGGTAATAGCATCAAGTATATCTCCATGAGGGATCAAAATTTGCCACCCCCTATGAGCAATATGTTGGTTGGGATAAAAACATCAACTGTATCTTCATGAGGGATCAAAATTCGCCACCGCCTATGAACAATATGTTGGTTGGCGTAAAAACATCATCTTTATCTTCATAAGGGATCAACATTTGCCACCCCCTATGAGCAATATGTTGATTGGGGTAATAACATCATCTTTATCTTCACAAGGGATCAAAATTCGCCACCCCTTTTGAACAGTATGTTGGTTGGGGTAATAACATAAACTTTATCTTCATAGCCACCTGAAGTCAGACGCGGAGCAACGTCAGGGTTGCAGCGAACATGTACCATAAATGTTGCAAATCA